CTCAGCTTCTGATTTTATTCTCAGAAATCAGAAAGATTTACCATGCCATAGGAGAATGTTCCTGCTTTCATTTTGGAGTGTGATAACATGCTTTTAAGTCTCTTCTCTTTAAAACTGAGAAACATTGTTTTAAGATGGAAATTTCTGGAAGATTATTCAACATCCATAGGGTGCTGTAGATGTAAAAAAAGGTTGAACCTTCATGATAAGTTACTTCACTACAGTCATTTCTTTTGCTTATGTAAATGCAGTATTCTGGTAGAATTTTTCTATTATGAGCACTAGCTAAAAGTATTGAATCAACATGGAGGTACACAGGGGCTGAGGAAAATCACTGTTTCAATATTCCCATATTAAACTCCTGTGAATAAGTGTTTACTGAAGAAAATCTGAAATGCAGGTATGGAGGTACATGTTTCACTATCTCTTTAGATTGTATCAAAATGCTTGAAAATCTGTATATTCAGAATGCTGAATATTCAAACCATTAAAAGTATTTCAAATTAATGAAGAAAGGTAAAAGAAAAGAAATTGAAAGTTTTGAGAAACTCCTCAACTTTTTTAGCAAGGTCTAATAAAATGTTGTATATTTTTCTTCTTACATATGTATATTTGCAGAGGAGAAAAAACAAACAAAACAAATCTTAGAAGATGAATGAGAATGGTCTTTTGGGTTCTGGCACAGCCCTTCTGGAAACCATATATTGACTCCAGTCCAAATGTCGTCAGCATCTATTGCCATCTGTGAATCAGGGATAGATCCCAGGACTTTTTCAAGTTGATGTAATAATTCTGGTTTGAAGTGAAACTACTAGCAAACTCAGGAAAGACAGCAAACCTGATGTGGAGGCTAGCACATATCACCATTATCATCAGGACAGAGTTGAGTTCCTTACACTATGATAATATGCTATTTAATGATAATAAAACAAGTGTAACTGCACTGGGCTTGCTGTTGATGGGTTCTCAATAGACCTGCTCAGAGGAAGCATTAGGACACAGTAGTCCTAGGTTATATCCAGTTTAAGGAGTCTAGGAGTTTTTCATGCTTGGCAACTATGTCAAGATATTTTTTTTAAATATTTTTTCCTAGAAATGATAGTTCTTTATCAAATTTACTTAAAGTCCTAGTTAATTTAATAAGCAACATTAAATTGTGTAAAAACATAAAAAAGCAAGTTTTTCTGTAAAAACAGAGAATAACATAACACTGAAGGAAGATTAACCTAGACAAAACAGAAAACAGTGGGAAAATACATTGTACTCCTTTGTATCAGTGAATGACAGAACTAACATATTTATGTTAGTTAAAATTTATTTATTTTTGTGTCAAATAATTTGGATCTCTTTTCCAATTATGAAAATGAGGGGTTTGTTTGTTTGTTTTTGGTTTGCATATGGGTTTTTTGGTTTGGTTTGGTTTTTTTGTTTTGGTTTGGAGGTTTTTTTGGTGGATTTAAACTTCATAATACATGTTTTAGGGTTCCACAGTTCAGAGATATTTAGATATTGTGAGTTTTTAGAAAACTCCACCAGCTTAAGCACTTCATTCAAGTTGTTTTCAGTCAAGCTTCTACAAAGTGATTTGTGTTTATGAAGTCTTCTGTTTCGATACTCAACTTTGCAAAGCTTTTGACCAGGCCCATTAAGACATGTTCAATAATCAGACACCTGGGCTTTCTTCAACAGCTTAAATACAAGCATCAATTAACTTCTGAGATGATCACATGCAAACAGTAATATTTAGAAAAACTGGACCTTATTTTTTTTTATTTTTCAAGACTAAAAGCACAAGTTATTTGGGTTAACACTAGTTTATAGACTAGTAAATATGTTATTGACATCAAAATCAAAATATGATGGGTGTATCATGAAGTGTTAAGATGGACTGATTACCATCATACTACATTTAAAGAATACAAATTCTAAAATTTCCTAGAACTTCCAGGGTTAATGTATCACTTCCTGGATGAAGGGAACGTGGGATAGTCAGGATGACTTCACTGTGTTTGAGACTCCAACATGCACAGGTGGCAAGTTCAGCAGTATGGAGAACATACATTCACATAATTAAACTTTAAAACAGAAGATCAGATCTGTTTTTTTTCCCTTATTTGTTACATACTACTGAATTTTGGGTAAACTTATTAAACTACATTTTCTTCTATCTATTACTTTTATTTGGATGGTTTTGGTGAGTAAAAACATGATAAGTGGTCTTTTTATTCAAATAAATGTATGTTTTAATAGATGTAAATACCAGTATAGGAAATCTGAATATTAAGTTGAGGTTTTATTGCTTTCATCTGAACACTGACATCACAAGTTGTTTTCTTATCCTGCAGTTGAATCTGAATGGTCCTTATAACTTTAAAAGAAACAAATTAAAAAGACATAGTAATAAGTGTTCCATAATAAAAGACGAGATAGTAAAAAGTGATTCGAAAAGGACAATACATTCGTGTATGTATGTATTTTATGTACATACATACATAAAAGTAATGGAATCATTTAGATTGGAAAAGACCTATACGATCATTGAGTTTACGTACACACATTCACACATGGATCTATTACTATGACTCAGATTTCTCTGAGGTCTGAGAAGTAACAATATGCATGACAACGAATGTGTTAATAGTCTTTTCAACCATGAGCAGAAACGCATCCTCCAGTTTTAAGACAGTGCATCCTAATGCTATTTTAAACCATAGGGGTTCAGGTTAACTGACAAAATTTACTTTGATAGATGATCCACAGAAAGCATGTATTAACAAGCTGAAGAAAAAAACCAAAAAATCCCAAACTTCAACGGGAAAATCAATTAACCACTGTATAAGGATTACAAAATTTAACCATGGGGAGAATACATCTAGTGGGTTGCCTGTAAATTATGTGTAGAAAACTAACTCTCACAACCAAGCTGCTCAAGCACTTTTCTTCAGAATCTGGTATGTAAGATCAACCACTCTGGTTTTCTGTATCGATACAAAGCTTAGTATTTACTTTATTATCATTAAAGAAAAATTACATATTTTACTCTTTGTATTTAGTCTGATGGGCTGCCCTTAAGGCTTGATTTCACTTTGGATATATTAGGACTTTAGCCATGCCATTCCCATGCCATTCCCATGGCTCCAAGCTCTTTCCCTGCTTCCTTTGTCATGTGCTGATCATAGCACACTGCAGCTCTCATCTGATCCATGTGTCTGGACTCACTGGGTGCTGTCCCCTTGGCCCAGCCCAGCAACCCTGGGACTATGTTTGACCCTGCCTTCCCTCACTGGGCCTGTTCCTGACCTCAGCACATGCCCATCCTCAGGGAGATGCCCAATGCCTGGGTTGGGTGTCCTGGTGCCCCTGGTGGCCCTGCTTCTGGATGAGGCAGTGGGATGGGCCCTGCCTACCCCTTCTGTCCTGATGGGCCCAATGCAAGACCCTATGGTTTCCAGCAGCGTGGTCACATGAAGCCACAGCCCCACATTCTGCCCAGGCATTGTCTTCCTTTGTATTCTGGTCAAGTTTTTTATGGTTTGAAAGCAACCACCAACTCTGGAGGACACAGTCACAGCCTGTCACTGAGCTGGACCAAATAACAAATAAAGACATAATAACAGTGTCTAAACCACAGCTGCTATTCCTGATGTAATTTTTTCCTATTTTCTTCAGTAAGTATAGGTGATCACAAAACCAGAAGTAGGTAAAGCAAAAGATTCAAAGAAAAATATAAATTAGAACAGACATACGGCTTCAGGTTGACTATAGTGACAGAATAATGTACTCTGGGATGAATCAGGTCCTTAGAAAGAGAAATTATTTATCAATATTTAAGTTAAAATTAATATTTAAATGGGAATTTATAAATAAAATTCAATAAATAGTAAAAATATTTAACAGAGTCAGCACTTTGGTCATAGTAATTCACCACTTATATAGTATAGTTTACAATATACACTTAATAATAAACCAATATTTAACAATAAAGTCTGTGCAGTAATCATTTTAAAAAAACAAAACTAATGGAAGTGTTTCATGTGTGACACAAACCTTTACTGGTTATTCTACATTGCTTTTTTCATTCATCTTCCAAAAAATAACCCAAACCAAAACAAAACTGACAACATTTTAATTAAAAAACAAACAAACAATAAACCTAATCAACTTTCTGTAGCATCTCTCTGGTTTAGTTCACCTGAGATCTAATTTTTTTTTTAATTTGCGATCAAGTAAAATACCATTTCATTGCAAAACTCGATGTCTTATAAAAACGTAGAACTGTATTCCAGTAAATGCTCCAGATTAAACAAAATAAGAGACTCATGCTCGTAGTTGCATGTGTCTTTTAACTTATGTTTAGCTCCATCCATTTTTTTCCAACACAACAATATTATTGTGTTGCATTTTAAAGCCTTGTAAATTATGCACAATCAACAAAGCTATTATGTGACACTGCAGAATGTACAACTAATGAAAATGTAATCATCAGACCTTATCATTTTAGCTGAAGTTTTAATTTAATAATACAGTTTCATATTCCCAAGACCTTTTTTATCATGCCAATTTCCATTATCTAATCCAAAATAATTGTGTTGATTCTCCTAAATTATACTAATAGCATTCTGACCTACAGTTTCATAAGGTTTATGACAATGTGCACGTACACATCACATTAACATGTACATGCTGTAGTTTTCCTCATTAACAAAGGTTTTGAGAATTTATAATTTACCCTTGCAGATGTTCACTTCTGTGACCAGGCCACGGATTCAATTGCTTTCTTAGCTCCATAACATAAAGACTGCATCAAGAACACTGGATTTTCTTCTACTTTTTTCACTTCAGATAGTTGCTCATTTACAATACGATTTTCATTCTCTTGATGCCCCAGTTCTAAAGCTCAATTCAGTTTCAAACTCAAGGTTTTTTTTTACAATCATTAAATCAATGGCAAGGATCTATAATTATTAGGAAAATATTTCATAAATATTAAAAGACTTTACCTTAACTGCAGAAATGACTTGCTGACAGAATCTCCTCTTCATTCAACTCCCACCACCTGCTGGAGCAGGAAGAGAGGTGGAAGGGAGTGATCAGTAAGAAAGGTTGAATGAAGTTTGGTCTGAAGACAGAGAGAACTCTGGTTTGAGACCCTTCACCCTCCATATATGTCTTGAATATTCAGAAATTGAACATCTCAGCTCTCTTGATACTACTTTCCATTCTAACTTGAAAACTCCCTAAGCAGACAGCAACCAAGCCCCACACAGCTGCTCACTCACTCCCCCACCAGCAGGATCAGGGAGAGAATTGGAAGGGTAAAAGGCGAAAAACTTGTGGGTTGAGATAGAAACAGTTTAATAGCTAAAGCCAAAACTATGCACAAAAGCAAAGAAAAACAAGAAATGAATTCTCTGCTTCCCATGGGCAGGCAGGTATTCAGCCATCTCCAGGAGACCAGGGCCCCATGAGGCTAAACAGTTATTTAGGAAGAAAAATGCCATCACTCCAAACATTCCCCACTTCTCCCATCTTCCCTCCAACTTTATACACTGAGTATGATGTCATATGGTAAGGAATATCCCCTTGGTCTGTTTGGGTCCCCCTCATGCTGTGTCTCCTCCCAACTTTCCATGCACACCCAACTTCCTTGCCATCATGGCAGTAGGAAGAGCAGAAAAGGCTTTGGCTCTGTGTAAGCACTGCTCAGCAATTAAAAAAAAAATCTCTATTATTGATCATTACCATGATCAACACAAAGGTAAAACGTAGCCCCATACCAGCCACTGGGAATAAAATTAACTCTACCCCAGCCAAAACCTGTACAAAAGGAAATGCACAGCCAGTGGAAGCAGGGACAGGAGACCTAGAAGGGGTACAGGGATACTGAAAACTAAGGCACAGATGGAACGGGACTTGACAAGGGATGTGAAAAATAGCAAGACAGGATTCTATGAGTACATAGGTCAAAAAAGAAAGGCCAAGGAAAGTGTACACTCTTTAATCAATAAGAAGGGATAACTTGTGACAACAGATAAAGAGAAGGCTGAGGTGCTCAATGAGTTCTTCACCTCAGTCTTCACCAGCAGTCAGACTTTCCATGTCTGTCAAGTTCTTGAACTTCCAGGTGGAGGTTGGGGGAGCAGAGTCCTTCCCATCGTAAGCAAAGAACAAACTTGAGACCACTTGATGAAATTGAATATCCACAAGTCTATGGGGCCTGATGACATTCCAGGGTCCTGCGGGAACTGGCTGATGTTGAGAAGCCATTCTATCTGAAAAGTCATGGCCATGAGAAGTCCACAGTGAATGGAAAAAGAGAAACATCACTCCCATTTTTAAAAAGGGGAGAGAGGAAGATCTAGGGAATTACAAACCAGTGAGTTTCACCTCTGTGCCTGGGAAAATCATGGAACAGATCCTCATGGAAGCAATGTTAAGGTACATTAAAGACAAAGCAATCTGAGACAGCCAGCATGGCTTCACCACGGGAAAATCTTACCTAACCAGTCTGGTGGCCTTCTATGACGGGGTGACTGAAATTGTTGGCAAGGGAAGTCCAAATGATATCATCTACCTAGATTTCTGTAAGGTATTTGACGTGGTCCCTCATGACAACCTTATCTTTAAATCAGAGAGACATGGATTTGAAGGGTGGACTTCTCAGTGGATAAGGAGTTGGTTAGATGCATACAGTCAGTGTTGTGGTCAATGGTTCTATGGCCAGGTGGAGGTCAGTGATGAGTGGTGTCTCTCAGGACTTTGTCTTGGGATCTATGTCCTTTAGTATCTCTATCAATGACATAGGGAGATTGAGCGCACCTTCGTCAAGTTTGCAGATGATACCAAGCTGAGTGGTGCAGTTGGCACAACAGAAGCACAGGATGCCATCCAGGGGGACCTGGACAAGCTCAACAAGTGGGCCCATGAGAACTTCAGGAAGTTCAACAAGTCCAAGTGCAGGGTGCTGCACCTGTGTCAGGGCGATCCCAGACATGAGTACATTGAGAGTAATCCTGTGGGGAAGGACTTGGGTGTTCTCATGGATGAAAAGCTGGACATGAGCCAACAGCGTGCTCTCATAGCTCAGAAGGCCAAGTGGATCCTGGGCTGCATCAAAAGAGGGGAGGCCAGAAGGTTGAGGAAAGTGATTCTCCCCCTCTATTCTGCCTTTGTGAGACCACACCTGGAGTACTGTTTACAGGTGTGGAGTCCTAAGCACAATAAAAATGTGGACCTATTAGAGCAGTTCCAGAGGAGGGCCACAAAGATGATATGTAGGCTGGAGCACATCTCCTGCAGAGACAGAATTAGAGAGCTAGGATTGTTCAGTCTGGAGAAAAAACTCCATTGCAGCCTTCCAGTACTTAAAGGGGACTTATAAAAAAGAGGGAGAGTAACTTTTTACATGGGCACATAGTGATGGGACAAAAGGGAAGGGTTTTAAACTTATATTTAGATTAGATGTTAGGAAGAAGGTCTTTATTCAAAGGGTAGTGAGGCCCTGCCCAGAGAAGTTGTGGATGCCCTATCCCTGGAATTGTTCAAGGTCAGGTTGCATGGGGCCCTGGGCAACCTGATCTAGTGGGTGGTATCCCTGTTTGAAGGATGTCTGTAGGAATATTCCTTATTAGTGACCCATTTTTTCTGTTCACCAAGCAAGTTGCCAAAAAGTATTATGATGTGTTTCAGCTTACATCTATAAAATGAGATTCTTTTCAGTGTAGTCAACTACATCTCCAGACCAGTTTATTCGCAAAAATGCATTAATTCAGTGACAGCATGGACATGAATTTTAAGAACAGATAAAAATGCCTTGCAGAAATGGGCAACAGTGAATGCACTTTTCAGTACTGGGGTCATAAAAAGAGTTCAGATAGCACCAGTGCACAAGTCTTTCAAAAAAAAAAAGATTATTTTCCATGACCAGGAGCTAAATAAGTTTATTTCTTTAATATTATATCAATAATTGCATTAATATTATATATTTTGTAATCATTGTTCTGCCTTTCACATGATACATTCATAAAATGGGGTAAGTTACACAAAACGAAGGGAACAATAAGATAAAAATAAAAAAAAACTGCCTCAGTTGCCTGTTTGCTTGCATTTCAAATTATTCAGAGGCATAAAAGGCTAGAAATCATATAATAGAAAGCATTTCAATGTCTGTTCTATTTATATTATTTTGCTCATCTAGTACTGCATTGTTTTGCTGAATAATTCAGCTGTTCATATATTTTCTTCTTGACAGTTCTAGCTGACCTCAAGTTCAAGAGAAGGAGAAATTAAGTATATGATGTTCAGACATAGTTTCACTTAGTTTTTTTGTTTCCTCTTGTCCAGAATTCTAGAGAGTAAACTACATATATTTATATATACTAGAACAGATCTAGACTGTAAGCCAGGGAATGACAGCAAATTGTACTACTCTGGACATAATCCTTTCTCACATTAAAAGGTGCAATTCAGCAGACACATCTAGGGTGAATTTCACCAGTAGATTTTGCAGACTTCTCTTTAAATTTCTTTAGAAACAAGTCATCGTGCCATAGCTACGTGATCAAATAAACTGTTTCTAAAGGAATTGATTGTGCATAGTTTTTTCTCAAATTCTCTTTCTTCAAGTGCTTTTGCTGCCCACACAGACATTGGTAGTGATCTATACAAAATGCTTTTGTCAATGGCAAGCATGATAGACATTTTCAGACTTAGGCACTATTTTTATGAACACAAATTTATGTAGAGCAGAACACATAATTGTATATTCCTTCCTACCAAACAGAATAAACACTCAGTTCTATAGAATGATCTAAGAAAATAATACCTGAATTTTTAAAATTATAAAACCTAAAGAAATAGATAAATAGGGAAGAATAAACCAAAAAAAAACTCAAACAAAACTCAACAACCAGAAAAAGAAAGAACTAGGTGAAAGTTTTGATTACGAAGTGCAAAGATTCCCAGAACTTATCTGAGCTCAGCAGGTAAGTCCTGCAGGATGTAAGGTAAGTTCTTAAGGTAACACAAGAAAATACAAACAAAGTGTAGTATATCTGGCACAGATACTAAATGCCTCTGCTCCTGTTATGCACCTCCACCACCGCTTGCCTATGTGTGATTCCCCTGCAACCTGTGGAGAAGACTACACTAGAGCAGACAACCACATTGCAGCCTGTATACTTCCCCATGATGGAGTAAGTAGATATTTCCTGAAGGGACTCTTTCCTGCAGAGTCCATGATGGAGCAGATTGCCCTGACAAGCACTGCAGCACATGTGGAGGAAGGAGCTGCAGGGATGGACTGTTATGGCTTGACCCCCCCCCCCCCCCCCCCCATTTCTTTCTGCTGCTTGGGATGGGGGAAGATAGAGGACTTAGGAATGAAGGAGTAAAGTTGAGCCTGAGAAAAAGGAAGGATGGAGAGGCAGTATTTCAGTTTATTCATTTTCCCCGATTCCAGTCTGTTTTGATTGTGATAGTAATTGGTTAGTGATCTCCTTTATCTTTATCTCTTTGTCTTTACCTAGACCCATGAGTTTTTACCTCTTATTTTCTCACCCGTTTCCTGTCAAGAAGGGGGAATAAGAGAGCAAGTAAGTGAAGGTCTGGCATCTGGTCAACCCACCACAACAACGTATCAAATTTTGTGCCAGTAGAAGTCATATCAATAACCAAGTGTCTGTAGAACTCTTAATTAAAGAGCAACTCTACTGCTATTATTTTGGAAATGGTTAATTTCCTAAAATGACTCTCTCATATTCTGATTCCCTGTTATTTTCCTGAGCTTTCTCTATATTTTGCTACTTCAGTTAAAGAAGTTGTTCATGTAAAGGCTAGTGTTCTCTTTGCAATATAAACTAGGTTTTGGAAGGGACTGCAACTCTTTCACTGGATCAAAGCAGACCACAGAATTATTTAACAGATAGGGCAGTGAGGCCACACAGAGATACACAAAGTATAGTCAGCACACAGAGTCCCCCTGGCAAGCAAAGAGTCAGACAATATTCAAAATATTTAAGAATTTTATAAAAATACTGAAGTCTTCTACAGCTAAATTAA